GGCCCTAGGCTCGGAAATAAAAATCATCTGGAAGTAAATGGGTTGCTGTGTATCTGACCTCTTCTCTCATTGGTGTGAACGCAGCGCGGGGACGAAACCTCCCATCATTGCTGCTATTTGTGGGAAGAGAGGTTGTTGGTTTTGTTTTTTGTTTTTTTTTTTTTTTTCCCTACCAGAAGATTAATAGGTAGCAAGTTCAATATCGTTAGGTATTTAGTTTTCCTTAATTGTTCCAGGAACTCATCTACAGAGAGCAATGCATCGCATCTGGAGGTAGCAATTTACCTTTCAGAAATCAACAAAATCTGCACGTTCCGCCTGGGTTCGGGGAAAAAAGGAGGGGGCGCAGCTACCGCTGGCGACTCCAGCCCCGCGGATCAGCCCCGGCTTCGGGGGATTCTCGACGACCCGCACCAGCACCGCCCCCGAGTTTTCTTCAGGCTCTTTTCTCTAGATAAGCTCAGCGTTCTCAATACTTGTGAAAGGACAGCCTAGAAACGCTGCAATAGGCTTGGAGCTTTTTCTTTTAAGCCTGAAGGTTCGTACTGGTTAATCATTTGGCGGATCCTGATAGTTCTGCAGGCTGGAGAACAGACAACAGATGGGCCGGCCTCGGCATTAAGCATTACTCCTTCTGTACCTTTCAGGAATTCGAGAGATTCTTCTTTTAGAAATAATTTTCCTCCTTCCTGTCTGGGCACTGGTCATCTGCTTCATCCATTTTTCCATGATACTTTCAAGAAAGTGGATGCACACGGCAGCAAGAAAGACCCTGCTCCGTGGATCGGAATTTTTACTATTTGCATTTTCATGATAATATCTTCCTAACGTTCCACAAATCTTCACGAATGAAACCACAGAAGAGGGGAGCGGGGAGGTAGGCTTTTCTCCATCGGTTCTTGGATGGACTCTACGCAAGCACAGGGCACTGCCACGCAGCTACGATCAAGGATCCAGCCAGAGCGCTGACCACGTCTGTACCAACTGAATTCCGAGGGAACTCCAGGATTGGTCCACCAAAGTGTAAAAAATAATGATTCAGCGCTATCGCTCGGGGAAAAAAAGCCTCTCATACTACAACCGCAGGTGTTGGCTTGTTTACTTGAGTAAAAGTTGGGTTTTTTCCCCGATATCTTGACAGATTATACCCCAGCTGCGGTGCGCAGCTTCCCTACGGTTTGCACTGCTCTTTTTTTTGTTGTTTTTCTTTTTTTTTTTTTTTTTTTTTTCTTTCCCCCTCTTTTTTCATGTAATATGAAAGAGCTTGCTGAAAGGCTGGAGCTGGTTGGCACTTTGAGTTTGTCCTCTCCTGCTCTCTGGATCAGAAGAGAAGGGTTTGTGGCTTCGTTACGGCAATTAGCCGGCAGTTCCTCACGAGGGGTTTTGCTCACCTCGCACTTGGGTGAGCTGCCCCAACTCCTCCACGCTCCCAGCAGCGACTAATTCCCGGATCATTTGACACTGGGAGTATCTGGAGCCGGGTCACTCTCCGCTACCACCCAAAGCCTGTTTGGAAAATCTCACTTTGCCTGAGAGATAAAGCTGAAGGTGCTTAAAAAAAAATTATGTTTCCCCTAAACCTCAAGCTTACGGCTCCACCTCTGCCCTTAACTTCTAAAATTAATTTTTGACTCCTAAATTAAATACACCTCTGTGCCCTTGCAGATCGTCACCGACACGGGTGTGCGCGAAGAGGCTGCGTTAAGACTCCATGCACGGGGCATATATAAACCATTTAACTTCTTTAGCTGTGATGCCATTTTGAACTTGGAAACAATTTCTAACTTGTGGCATCACCACGTCGCCCAAAGGCAGCGAGGCCCAAAGAAAAGCTAAAAGCAAAATGGAGTAGGGCAAAGGGATGTTTCCAGATAAAACGTGGATCCTGTTTTATCTGGAAACAGATAAAACAGAGCCCGAGAGGGATCACCACGAGGCTGGAGCTGCAGAGGAGACGGTCCCCTACTACACGCTGGGGGTAATATCCCTGGTTAAAAAGTGAAGCATGAGAATATTCAGTGCATCGTTGAGTTTAATTTTCAAGGATCGGCCTGTCAACCTTCACCAGTGTCCTTTCCCTTTGTTCCACGTCGAATTAAACACGTGTGACTGTGTTTTAAGCCAGGGCGAGCAAGTTTTTTCCTCCGGCGCCGCTCCCACTCCAAGCTCAACGTGTGAAACGTCGCGCAGGAAAACGTGTGTGTGTGTCCCCCAACCCAAAACTCCCGACGACGTGGACGACAACTGGCAAGCGCGGAGCAAACCTCCCCTCCCTCCAGGCTCACGCCGGCCCCGGGAGCAGAGAGGGGCAAAGCCCAGCAGCTCCGCGCTGGCCAGCAGAAGGGGCCCCGTGGCCACCAGCTGCCGGCTCCCCCGATCCTGCCGTCACCTCCGAACCCAGGCGCATGCCCCACGCAGTAGCCCACGGCTACGCAGCAGGGGCATGGGGCTTGCTAGGGGGTGCTTGCCCTGAGCCCAGCTAGCCATGGGAGCCCGTTTGGCCACGGGAGCCCATCCAGCCATGGGAGCCCGTTTGGCCACAAGAGCCTGGCTAGCCACAGGAGCCCATTTGGCCATGGGAGCCCATTTGGCCAAGGGAGCCCATCCAGCCATGGGAGCCTATTTGGCCACGGGAACCCATCTGGCCACGGGAGCCCATTTAGCCACGAGAGCCTGGCCAGCCACAGGAGCCCATTTGGTCATGGGAGCCCATCTGGCCATGGGAGCCTGTTTGGCCACGGGAGCCCACTTGGCTACAGGAACCTGGCCAGCCACGGGAGCCCATCCAGCCATGGGAGCCCATTTGGCCACAAGAGCCTGGCCAGCCACAGGAGCCCATTTGGCCATGGGAGCCCGTTTGGCCACGGGAACCCATCTGGCCACGGGAGCCCGTTTGGCCACGAGAGCCTGGCCAGCCACAGGAGCCCATTTGGTCACGGGAGCCCATCTGGCCATGGGAGCCTGTTTGGCCACGGGAGCCCACTTGGCTACGGAAACCTGGCCAGCCACAGGAGCCCATCCAGCCATGGGAGCCCATTTGGCCATGGGAATCCATCCAGCCACGGGAGCCCATTTGGCCATGGGAGCCCGTTTGGCCACAGGAGCCCATCCAGCCGTGGGAGCCCGTTTGGCCACAGGAGCCCATCTGGCCATGGGAGCCCGTTTGGCCACAGGAGCCCACTTGGCTACAGCAACCTGGCCAGCCACGGGAATCCATCCAGCCACTGGAGCCCATTTGGCCACAGGAACCTGACAAGTTATGAGAATTCATCCAGCCATGGAAGCCCGTTTGGCCACGAGAGCCTGGCCAGCCACAGAAGCCCATTCAGCCATGGAAGCCCGTTTGGCCACGGGAGCCCGACCGACCACGGGAGTCTGTTCAGCCATGGGAGCCCGTTTGGCCACAGGAGTCCAACTGGCCATGGGAGCACATCCAGCCACGTGAGCCCATCCAGCCATGGGAGCCCATCTGGCCACGGGAGCCCGTTTGGCCACAGGAGCCCAGCTGATCATGGGAGCCCATCTGGCCACGGGAGCCCGTTTGGCCACAGGAATCTGGCCAGTCATGGGAGCCCATCCGGCCACCGAAGCCCACCCAGCCATGGGAGCCCGTTTGGCCACGGGAGCCCAGCCAGCCACAGGAATCTGGCCAGTCATGGAAGCCCAACTGGCCATCGGAGCCCACCCAGCCACAGTAGCCCGTTTGGCCACGGGATCTCGTGTGGCCACAGAAGCCCACCCAGCCAGAGGAGCAGGGATGTGCCGGGGGATGCCGCGACAGCCAGCCGAGAGCACAGCCCCGGCCTCCAGACACTACCGATGGCACACGCCTGAGCGCTGCGAACAGGAACTTGTGTTTGATTGCTCAAACGATGTCATTTTTCCACACCAAATTTAACAAACAAACAAAAAAAAAAACACCAAAAAAACAAACGAAACCAACCAACAACATAAGAACAGAGAGTTTCTCCACATTATTAAAGAACATGGACTTACAAAAGGAAAGGAGGGATCAAGTATTTCCCTTTCCTATCGGGAAATAATATGCATTTGCGCTGGGTTTTTGTTGGTTTTCTGATTTTTTTTTTTTTTTCCTGGCAGATTTGAACAGTATAAAGCTTTGAATATTAAGAAGGCTATTGAATTCTTTCAATAGTTTTCCAAAGTGTGAAGCTACTGCACTTAGAAAAAGGAAAGGAAGCCTAGCACTCTTCAAGAACAAAATGAATTTAAACGCACGATTAATATTGCTACTGAAATTAAAAAGAAAGTGTCTTTTAAAAAAAATCAATTGTCTTGAAACAAAGCACAGACTTTTGGCTATTGATAGTATTTTTAGACTCAGACTTTCTCTGGAGACTTGAAAGTATGCAAATGCAAAGTGCAGAGAGGCACACACACACATGCTATACCTTTGTATTACATTGGCATTTTATTATTTAATTAAACTACTCTTATTTTTCTAGCTCACGCATGCTTCCCTTGAGACGGCTTTGCTGTTAGCCTGCTGGCCTTGACTTCCAGCCAAAACCAATTCAGAAACAAAAAGGGACAACAAATCATATTTTCACAGACATTTTTATCCCTCAATACAACCTTGTTTTCACACAACATCATACAGATTCGCCGAGAACTATAATTTATGGCGGTAGCCATCCAAAGCTAGGGGCTGCCACGAGCTCGGCGGTGCGTTCCCACTTCTGGCGGCTCGGAAGTTGCAGCCGGTGGGCAAGTTCCCCAGCGGCTCCGAGCAGGGGGGGGGAATTAGGGCAACCCGAGAGCTCCGGAGCCTCCGGGAACCGGATCCCGGCTAGCAAAGCTCAGGCAGGAGCTTTATAAACCTGTATTGGCACGTCAAGCCCCCCTTTTCTGAGAAATGCCCGCCTGCAGCCATCGCCGTTTATGGCGGAGCCTAGCCCTGAGACGTACAACTTGAAGAAGCAAACCTCGTTTATCAGAGCATTTACCACAACCCCTCCGCCGAGCAGGCTTTCACTTACCTGGTGGCAACCCTGTAAATTCGAATCTCTTCCATATGATGAGTATGAGCCCCTTTCCGTTTTACCTGTGAACAACGACAAAAAAAAAAAAGAAAAAAAAAGATGTATAACAGAGGTACAGAGCTTCTCCGAGCGCTTTCTATGATGTTCCCCACATTTTCCTAGTGCTGTTTACGTATGTAAAATAGGCGCTGCCGACTGCGGAATGCACGGAGGCAACGGAAAGGGGATTCAAGCTTTTTCAGCCTGAGGAACGATGAGAAAGGAACTTCCCCATCTCGGCTCTGTTGCTCCACGCGCTTCCTGGAAGTGGGATTTCACGGGCTGGAGGTGGGAGCAACACCTCCCCCGTGCTTCCCCTCTGCTTGGGGGGGGGGGGCTGAGCACCCAAGCACCCAAGCACCCAAGCTGGTCCCTCACCCCGCCGAGGCGACTCCCCCACCGCTCCTCCAACCCGGGAGCAAATTCCTCCACGGTCGAGGTGATGGTGGAATTTCCACCTGGGCGAGAGACACGGCTGGGGAATTCGCCCTCCGCTCCCGGCGCTGGGATTTGAACGGGAGCTCAACGACTGCCAAGGCTCTGCCACCTCTATTTGGTGGTTTGGGTTTTGGTTTTGGTTTTTTTTTTGGTTTTCCCCCCTCTTCCCCCCCCCCCCCCCCCCCCCCCCAAAAAAAGCCTTTAAGACTCAGATCCACCAGCCTGACGTGCGGTACCGGTTATGGTTATGCTGTATTTACGAAGGAAAATCAAAGTTCTTTCAGGTTTGAACGGCCAGACTTGAGCAAAATCAAGAAGGGAAGAGGTGGTTGCTGCAAAGCATTAAGTCATGGCTGAGCAGCACCGCACCACGTGCTCCCGAGACAAAGAGCAGTCAAGAGGGCTGATACAAAACATATTGACACTAAAAGACCACCCTTATGGTGAGGATAATCACGGGAGGGGGGAGGGAGGTATTATCTACCAAAACATCCACGAGCACAGTAAAAATCACTCATAAAATTCAAGTTTTTATTACAGGCTGGGGTATAAAACCCGCAACACGCAGTACCAGTTACTAGGGAGCAGATGCTCGGTCGCTCTCCGCGCGCGACGCCGGGGACACCTCTGCACCTAGAAGCCAAATTAAGGGGGGGGGGGGGGGGGTCCCCCCTCCCGACCCCGCGTCCAAGGGACGCGGCGACAGCCCTACGCCGAGGAAAAAAACCTTTCCTTTAAATACGCGGCGACTGGGTGGTGGGTGCCCTTTGGGGGGCGTTGGAAGTTTGACTGCCGCGAGCGGTTGGCCGTTAAGAAACCCGCCGCCCTCCTCATCACAATTTAAGGCTCTCAAGCCTGCTTTTGTCTCTCGGTTTGGGTTCCGGAGGTGCTTCTACGCGACGTTTGTTTGCAATTCCGAGGACGGTTGGGCGCGTTGTAACTTTTGAAAACACTTCGCTCTGCTTATCCAAAAATGACGGCTCGCCCACCCCGCAGCCCCCCCCCCCCCCCCCCCCCCCCCCGTCAGGTTCAGAGCGCTGGAAGCCTCTGCAGAAATAATTCAAGATTGAAATGACAATGAAATTTTAATCGTGAAGCCCCGAGTCCAATGCCGGGATCTGCAAACAAAATGTCTTTGCTGGCATGCCCGGAGTTGCCGTGTGCTACTTCCCATCACCCCAAGAGGGCCTGGAAGTCGATGCAAATAACGAGCGGTGAGGATGGAGGGGGGGGGTCGGGGGGGGAGGAAAACAAAAAATACAAAAACCCACCAAAAATCCCAAACAGAAAAATAGGGTCGAGGGGAACCAAGTAGAAGCAGCGACACAAGGTACTTTGAACAGGCTTCTCGCTGCTGCCTGGGTATCAGTAATCTTCTTTTCTATCGTATCAGACACAGGCAGCCTCATCTTAATTTCAGTTGTTAAAAAATATTTATCCAGATACAAAAATAAACCCACTGCAAATTACAAGTTGTCAGGGTTAAAATCTACTTCTATTTGTGTGGGGGAGGATAAGAGAACAGCATAGACATGAATCATTCTCAGTAATTTGAGTGTTTCCATGACATCAATGGGCACTCGTCCAGGACTCTGTCGAAGTCTGTGAGGTACCAAAGCGGCACAGCAGCCAGCAGGAGATTGACTTTTTTTTTTATTTATTTATTTTATTTATTTATTTATTTATTATTTTTTTTTTTTTTTTCCCAGGATTATGCTCCTTGTAAAGATTTCATCTATACCATCCACTTTTACCACCGAACAGATAGCTTCGGAGATCATGAGTGAACACATTTCATTCTGATGGTGTAAGCCTTTAACTTTATTACATTTGGTGGTGGTGTCGTTCCCACATACAGCTAGAAATCTGCCTCCTCGATTAAGAACAAATAACCGAAATTTATGAAAAAGTCGAGAAACCGTTAAAAAGATATCCACACGTAGATTTTCACTATCAACTGCAATTATGAAATTATCATACTTTTTGCAATGACACTTCATTTTGGGGGGGGGGGGGGGGGAGGGAAGAGGAATATCTTTTGTATAAACTGTCCATTTAAAATTAGCTACAGTCTTGATGTTGATTTTCTGCTTAAAATTCACTGGCACATTTGTTTCAGATAATAAAATTTGCAAGAGTGCTGATAATATGCAAGAGTAGGCTCTTTAAGCAACTATTTGTGCTCACAAATACAAAAGCTTCTCCTGAATTTCTACGTTTACTGTACATTATGCATCATTTTCAGTCACTTGAACACCCCAGCCTGTACTGTGCATTTTCCGAGGTTTGCAAGAGCTAAAGATTCTCTCTCCTTTTTTTTTTTTTTTCTTTTTTTTTAAAAAAAAAAAAAAAATGTTTTAAAAAAGACAGAGCGTCTACAGCGATGTAGACACCCGACGCATTCACTGCGGAATTTTCGAGACAACCCTCTAGTACTAGAATGCGGCAGCCGCTGCGGATATTTTTTGGCACAAAGACAATGGTGGCAGTGCCAAGCCCCATGGCTAAAACTACTCAAAAGAGGCATAAGGGTAGCATTAATCGTTCAAGTCTTTTACTGCATGGAGTACTGTTGTCCATATTTTAAAATCCAAAAGTACCCGTTAGTAATATTTGTTGTAAGCCAGGGGAAAAAAAAAAAAAAAAAAAAAAAAGAATTGAAAAAAAAAAAAAAAAAAAAAAGGGAGCCTGAAATAGAGATGAATAACAAATCTTGTCAGACATCTGATTAATTTTTTTTCTACCTAGAGGACCAAATGCTAAAATGTGCCATTTGTTACCAGCACTCCGAACACGCAACACGATCTATATACCCTTCCGTGGCTTTATGATCTGACAATTGAAACAAAGCTCCATGGAAGAAGTTGACCTACAAAAGCTGGTGAATAACTTTCAAGTACGCACTTGTTCCTTAGGTAAGGCAGAAAAAAGCATCTCCGTTACTATCTGAGGCAGATAACTTAGCGTCTGTGTAAATATATAGATATATATTCAATTAATTGACACAATGCATGCCAATCAAAGGAGAGACAAAGAACGAACTACATGCAGCTCCTGTTTTCTGACAAACACTGAATCTCAACTCTCTGCTCTCTAAATACCTCTAGAAAAAAATACTGCTTATCCTCACTCGACTAAAGCGATTGCTTCCTAAATACTTTGCTTGCATTTTTGACGGCAGAAAATAAAAGCAGCATAGGATTGCCAATCAATCAATAAAGAAGCCACTTGCCTTTCCATGGTGCACTTTGACAAATTAATCAAATTAAGTAGAAAATTTAAGCAACTTCCAAAGCCCAAATGCAAGTCATCTGATTCCCCACTCTCTTTTCCCCTGCTCTGGGAGACAGGGCACCTTGGCTTTTTTCTGGTAGGCAGAATGAGAGGCATGAGGCAACTCTTTCCATCTGCAGAGAGAAGGAAGTGAAGCTATTTCTATAAATGACTTCAATTCAATGTTTACATTGATTTCGTGTTTGACATATTTTGTGAGAGATGAGTTCGACCAGAACATTCTAATTCAGGTTTCCGCTGCCCTACATTTGGGGTTTAGTTCTTGGTTAGACTGAAGGAAGGAAACCTGTCTGAGGGGAAAAGAGAGGGAAAAAAAAAAAAAAAAAAAAAAAGTAATTGCATTAGGGACTGGAATTTTTCATGGCTGTGAATTTTGGTCTGCAATTTTGCTTAAACCTATTTCTTGTTTTCTTGCTGCATTTCTAGCAATTTTGAAAAGTCACGACTGTTCCCCCTGATGCCTCGGATGCATCCTGAAGGCAGCCCCATCAATTCCCCTCCAGAGAATGCGACATTAAAGGTGAACTCCGCGTCAAAAGTCCGACCAGGCACGGGGAACACAGAGCTGGAGCCTATTTGGGAGAAAGTTCTGAGCGACTGAAGAATGCCTTGAACTTTACAGTTGCGTATTTGTCTGTCTAGAGCGAGCACGTGGGCGTTATCAGCCGTAGCTGGGTTTATTTGCATTGTTCCGAGGATCATGAAACAGTTTCCTTCTGCCTTCATCCACGCGTTCACAATTTTCCCAACGCTTCCGTTCGGCTGCGGGGGGATTGTGGTCACGGGGGGGTGGGGAGGGCAGGGCCCTCGGTGCTCACGACCGGGAGGAAGGCTCTCCCCACGCCGGAGCTCCTCGCCACGAGGACCGGCTCTTGCCCAGGAGCTTCGGCCAGTGGCCGGCTGGATGACCAGGATTATTTTTATTTTTCGCCTCGGAGGTTTGAAAACCCGACGCGCCGCAGCAGATAAAGCAGGCTAACATTTGTATAGAAGTAGAAATTATCCGAGGGAAAACCGCACTGAAGTAAATGTGCCATTGTACACTATATATCCTATAAGCAACTCACTCTTGGAGAGAGGTATATACCCTGTGCCCTCCCTGGACAGCATCCCAAAGCTTGCTATCTTTTCCCCTGGACATTAAAACCAGCCTGCTCACGTTTTCATCAGAGGAGCCAGCAGGTAGCTTGATTTTTTCAGAACTTTTGAATAATTTGAATTTTTAAAAGATAAACCACACACACACACACATACACACAAAAAAAAAAAAAAAGGGGGGGGGGTGGGCCGG